ATTGTTGCTGGAGGCTGGAGCTGACAAAGATGCAGCAGATACAGATGGTTCAACGGCTGTGCACACTGCAGCCAAGTATGGCCACTTGGAAGTTGTCCGATTGTTGCATGAGGCTAGCTAGAGCCAACAAAGATGTGGGGAATAGATGCCACTTAAATGCACTTTGTTCCATCTTGAGCAGGTCTCATCCACATCCATTCACCACCTGAGCCAAATGCGCCACCCACATGCGCGACCGCCCAAAAACGCCCAAAACGCGCCGGCAGCACCGTCGCAGCGGCCGGATCGAATATGGAGTGTTTGTTTGAAAAATCGCACCATCCTGCCTGGGAGTTCTGGCTGGAGAGTAGCACCCAGCCCACGTCGACCATCCGGGATCTCTAGAAGTTTCGACACCCCGGGTCCTGTGAGACGTCCAGACCCTGACTGTGGGTCATTTGACGACCTCCGTTCTCCGCAGGTCGGTTCGGGGCTCCAGGTGACCCACCGCCATGTGGTTTGGGGATGGTCCGATGATCCTCCAAGGCTTGATCAATCTCTTCTTGAGCTTTTTTGGGCTTCAGAGAGGTGTTTGTGCCCAGAGGGTTTCGACTTCAATGTTTCAAGGCTGATGTGGTGCACAGTTTCAGAGGCTTTTTCGCTGGAGTTATAGATGGTCATCTCAACATGTCTTGCACACACTTTAGCAGCTAATTCCTTTCAATAGAAGATGCGTGAACATTAGAATCAAAATCCTACCCAGGAAAAGTGGAAAACCTACAAAAAGTCCTGCAAAACCAGTTTTGGGGAAATGGGTTTTCCTCGTTATGTTCCAGGGAATGCTGACAGACTCAGAAATAAATTGTACGGCACCTCTGCTTTTTAATTATAGACTTCGAACTAAACACATAGACTCTTTGAAACCAAAGCCCTTCAATCTTCGCTGTGTGTCACGTTTGCAAAGGAGAATCACATGGAACTGCGTATCAGCTCAGTGGTCACTGCGTATCACCCGGACCCCGATTCCCGGGTGTTGGTCTTCCACACGGTTCCTGCCGCACGGACCGCCTTCCCGACCGGGTTCGGAGCTCGGAACCTTCTCACGCCGCTTTTAGGCGGTGCTCAACGAGGAGCAAGGCGTCGAGCTGTGGCGTTCCTTGCTCCAGCGCCTGACCACGAGACCCACAGGCCCACGGCACGGACCAACGCCGTAGTAGACCCGTAGTGACCAGGTCGGCGGAGGTCGGCGGATGGGGCACGATGGAAAGGGCATTCAGGCAGGCACCCCACGAGAGGTCGCTCGCTGGTGTCGTCCCACGTGGTTCCAGGCAACGTTCGACAGCATGAATTTTCTGGTTCCTGGGATCCACTTGGGTTGCCGCCACCGCAGTGTCCGAGCTGGGACCACCTGTGAGCTTCCCCTAAGTTCCGCTGACGCACGGAGCTTCGCAGGTAGTGAGGCGCCCTCTTCCAAGGCATGCGCCGCGTGGGAGCCGCGCAAGCCTGGAGGGGGGGAGGTTGAAATGGTTTGTGGTGAGGATCGTGCATGAGGTGGGAAGTGTTTGGGTGAAAGGCTGACAGGACAGGCCATTGTTTCCAAAGCCACTGCTAGCTGCCAGTACATCCTTCTTGGGCTAGGTAGGTGCAGTTAGGCTGTCACCGAGGACCTATTAACCAGGCTAACGCCTGGCAGCCGCCGTCCCCCAGGGAAGTGGATGGCCTAGGTTTAATGGGTTAAGAGTTTTTTCGAAAAATCGGGGAACCAAAAAAACAACACGGAACCCCTAGAGAGATGATCTGTCACTGCATCACCAAAGTAGGCAGAAGAGAGCACGGCAAATGGGTTAGCATTTTTCTTTGAAAATCTGGGAACCCAAAAAACAATACGGAGCCCCTAGACAACCACAGAACTATCTAGAAAAACCAGAGAAAATCCTGGAAAAACCCTCGCAAAAGGCATGAAAGGCATGAGTAAAGATAAGAAATACCTTAGAACATCCTAGAAATCCAGCGGAAAACGTTTGCAAATCGAGGAAAGTGGGTTAGCACTTTTCTTTGCAAATCTGGGAGCCCAAAAAACAACACGGAGCCTTTAGGCAACCACAGAAGTACCTAGACAAACCAGAGGAAATGCTGGAAAACACCATCGCAAAAGGCCTGAAAGGCATGAGTAAATCTTACAAAAACCTTTGAAAATCCTAGAAATCCAGCGGAAAACGTTACAAAGTCTAGGAAAAACCAAGGGCACTGGCAGGGACCAGGCCGCGACCAGCCCGGGATTCGAGCCCGGGACCATTTAGGGACCGTGCTTATTTTCCCACGCGGGTGGGGAGGGTGCCCCAACCCCCAGTAAGAAGCAAGCCAATAGATTTGGCAAAATCTTGCGCAAATCTTGGACACATCTTGCGCAAATCTGGCACACATCTCGGGTACTTTTCGTCACTGCAACAAGGCTCCGGAGGGGTCGGGGAGGTATAGCCTTAGCCTCAATCATAGCCTTAGCCTTAGCCTTAATCAACAGTCACGCCTGACCCCACGAGTGGGGTCGGCGGATTTACCTGCAGCATCATGGCAATTGATGCTGCACCACTTGATTTACCCCCGCGTTCGTCCACCTACTTGCATGTTGCATGCCAAACGGATGGCTTTGTTTCCTTCATAGCAAGAATCTGAGCGTCCTACTTAACCCATACGGTATGGGCTGGGCCGGGCTGAGTGGGTGAAGGTCGAACATGATAGAGCAGAAAAACATAACATAGACTCTTGATTAATAACCCCCGATTTTAATTGAACATCCTCTTCATATATGGGGGGTGTATGGTCCTCAAGAGTCTACATTAGGAGGGCTCTTGGAAACCTGAGGAACTCAGATACGTCATATGCACCACTTGGCCCAGCAAACCGCCATGAACATTTCGTGCCAGCTGGGATGGAACAGCCTTCTCTCAGCAACGGAGCGTCGATGGACGGTCGATGGATGGATCCACATCTACGATCCACCGCAGGTGGATCGCAGCCTTGGCATCCTATTTCCTGCTTTTGCTTAAAGCAGGTGATTTTTATTGATGTTTGTTGCTTCCCCTATGGGTGAATTCCCTTCCGACCTTCTGGGTCTGGGTCCGCAAATCCAAAGATTTGACAGACCTGTTCCATGACATCACGCCAACCATCGACATGGACACAGGCATGGTTTAGTTCAAGGTACCTGGCACCAACTCATCGGCGCTTCTGGAGCAAAGGTTTTGTTTGTCCCATTTCCCCTATGAGTCGAAGGCTGGTGTGCTCCGTTGCTTCGCCCGCTTCTCCGGCCTTTTTGCGCGCCGTTTTGGCTCACGGCAAGCACAACATAGCACAACTGACCGAAAGAGGTCGCTGCAACGTGCTCTCCAAGAATGTGCCCTCGTAAAATGGGGCTCCCCCCAATGGCCGGTGCACCCATGGGATGGCGTGAGCCATAGACTTGGACACCAAGATTCACCCGGGATCGATGTTTGTTCAACAAAAGTCACATATGTTTATAAGAGAGCTAGTGGCTATAGTGGTATGTCCTTCAGAGTCACCAAGAACAACCTTGACCTCCCAGACCTCACCACGTTTATATAATTCATAATATATTAATTGTATCAATGGCCGGTGCATCACATGATCAGGCTTATGGTAGTACGACTGACTGCTAGGGTGGTCAAGATCAGCTTAGCAGCTGGGACCCTTAGGGGTAGCCACTTCTTCTTTTCGAACGGAGCATTTGTACATAGCTGCCATAGCTCGCTCCGATGATCTCGTCCAATGTTCTCCTCCACGGCTCCCTTGAATCTAGCGGCGTCGACGGCAGAGGACAGTGGAGGGTGGTGGGGGTGGAGAGGAAAACGTTCCCAAAACGCATGCCAAGACCATTGACATAATTCTGTACGGATCAGTGCTAGCCAGGGGTGGTGCCAGGGGGGTCAATGTAGGCATAGATTCCAGCCCCATGGATGGTTTGGGATATCAGCAATTCCGTGGAGGACAGGCGCTGAGATCCATGGAGGAACCGGGCAGTTACAGTAGGTCAGGGGTGCCCTGTCACATCAATCACATCCAGGACACTTGGGATGGGACTTGACTAAACATGATCATGGCTAGACACGACACCTTTTGCAACTCCTGAAGCACAAATTCTCCAGTGCTCCTGGAACCATGTCCCGCCGTTTCGCTAGAATATGGAGGCCCCAACCCCACCAGGGCAATCTACACTGTGATCCTGCAGAAGCGACTGTTTGGCCGCCTTAAGAAGCGAAGGAAGCTTTGGGTGCTTGTGCACCATGTTACATGTTGAGAAGAGAATCGTTTCTTTCAACGAGACTCGCCATTTCCAGGAGTCACAAGACGGGGTGCGATCCATGGAGGTGAGGGGTGCCCAGAACATCCACTCACTGGATGGGACTAAAAACCACCCCGTACTTGTGACCTCTGGTTCACTTTGATTCCATGACTTATGGCATTCACTTCATCCCACCGTTTCCAGACCTCGCCTGCTTGAACGACGTTCAGCACCCGACTCCTCACTAACTCCAGCGTTCAGCCTGGGGAGAGTCCATCCGCCGATCCGATCACCGGCACTCCATCCGACTCCCACGTGGCACTCGTTCCGCACCGACTCCCGCGGCTGTGGCCGCGCTGCAGGACCGGCGGGGCCAAGGGCCCGGACCGGAGGAGCGCTACATCCTCACGTGGGGCGCCAATGCCAACCGAGCCGGGGCAGTACAGTATCGGGGGGGACCTCCGTTTTTAGCCAGCTGGAGGGGACAGGCTGAGACCTGAGGAGGTCAGATGGGACACCAACGATTGAAGAACCCTAGTAGGTTACCGAGAGGCTATCCTATGTCCCTCAGGTGACCCCCAGGTGACGGGTCCTATTTACAGTCGCTAACCCCCCCTAAAAAAAATGAACACCTCCGTTGGGACCGTTGGGAGGCCATAGGGTGGTTCATCCATTTGTAGGGTTGTGGGGTTCACGAGGGGTTGCCAAAGGTAGGGAACAGGACCCTTTCGCGTGCAGTGTGCCCAGTATGTTTGTGTTTTATGTTGTGTCATGTCATTTCTAGTGCACGACATTATATCGGTAGGTAACCTTTTGTTTAAGTCCAATCTGCCATTGTGCCTCCATCGTCCACCAAAAGCATCCACCATCGTCCACTGATTTGGAAGTCTTCATTCGAAAAATGCGCCTGGAACCCATGAAGGTTCTTAGTCTTACGTAGCGCGTGGGGTTCCCCCAAGGGTCGACTGTGTTGCAGTTGACCCGAGTGTGTCGCGTCGCATTCCGGGAAAGATTGGGAAAGCGGCTCTGAGGACAGTGCCTTTCAGATGAGGCTCGGGTCATTCCTTCTCCCAAGCATGCCGCTTGGGCAGAAATGAGCGATGAAACAGCTGACATAGCTAATGAGCAATGAGAGTTTGGCGCTGAGGACTCGGTGCTTCATCAGTCCGGAGTTGCTTGTGGTCTACCCATGTCACATCCTATAGGGGATGTCATTTCCTTAGGGATCCAGTCGTACCGAACCTACATAAAACCTACATAAAAGTGTCTCCAATCACCGTACCTGAGAAGGTACGACTGGATCCCTAGGGTTTTGACATGGCCGTCCTCACGAACCACGTGCGGGTCGCAACAGAGAAGCCATCAGGACCCTCTCCCAGCCGTCCAACTCGTCCCACTTACCGGTTCCACGAAAAAACAAGACAAGACAATATTGTGTTTTTTTGGGGGTATGGCCACGTCTTTGGTGTGTTTTGGTGTTTGCTCTGGGTCCTCCCCCCAGTCACCCAGTCACCCCAGTCCCAGAATTCTCCCTCCTCAAAACCAAGGTTCGAGGTTAAGTGACCGTAAATAGGACCCTACCAGGGTACCGAACTGGGATAGCCGCAGCCTAGTCCGGGATCTTCAACCTCTCTTGGTTTTCGACTTGAGACCCTCGCTCCTCCCAGGTGCCCTTCCTCCGCCCCCTCCGCTCCTTCTGCGCCGGCTGGGACGGCTCGCTGCTCCTGGACAGTGAGGGCGCCCTGTGGGGCGGCGGCTCCAACCGAGGGCAATGCCTCTCCGAGGAACTGAGCGGCCTGGTGAGACCGGGGGGAACTGGGTGGGTCACGTTGCGTTGCGGCCGCCTTACGGCTCACGCAGCCGGGGGGGGACCAGCTGGCTGGGCGGTTTTTTTTATGGGAAGAGGAGGAGGAGGGCGCGAGGAGGCGGCTTGGCTCCGAAGGGAGGCGGCTTGGCTCCAAAGTTTAACCGCGTCTTACCGATTTTATTGTTTAATTCTAACCGTGCATGTTTCGCAATCTCCCTTCGACGGGATAACAGAGTCTAATGGCCTCTCCTTGTTTTGGGAGGAGAATTGGTTTGAGTCTTCCGATGGTGAGAGAAGAGTTTGTTCTGAAGGTTGTTTCCACAAGTGTTGGTCTCTTCCAATGACTTGCTTAGTGACTGGCTGCAATGCCCCGCTACATCAAGATCTTTGGATTCGTATTATGTTTAAGATATGTGTGCTTGGAATTCCCAGCGAATGCCTCTCCTGATTCGGTGGATGAACTCAGAACGTTCTGTCCGGCCTATACCTGGCATGATTCAACCGAGAGAGAGAGAGAGAGATAGAGAGAGAGCTCCAGACGTCTCCGGAAGGGAGCCACCAAGTCTCCGGCCACCATGAGACGTGTGTGTCGTGTTCCATCTCTGAGACTCTGACGTCCTGGGTCCTAATCATGGAAGTGGAGGGAGTTCACCACCCTTCACCACCTGTTTGCAGAGGAAAATTGGTAATCCAAGGGCTTTCTGCCATCCACTCCCATGATTTGTCCAACGAGTGTATAGATACATGTATAGACTATAGACACTTCAGATATTTTCACTTGGATTTGCTCAAGGAATGGAGAAAAATTATTCCCCAGAAGGGAATTTAAATATACCATTATACCAGCTGAAAAACCTTTCCCAGACACTCCATGGGACAATATATGCCTCCGACCCCCCAGGCACCACCCCAACGCCGTTTCGCTGTCCGTCATGGCAGTCCCAGACTGGTCGCGTTTGGTTTTGCACCGTCCATCCAGGCGACGAGCACGTGCCGCTGTCGCGCCTGGACGTGGCGGAGCTCGACGCGGTGCCCTTCGAGGCCGCCGACATGGGCCGCTCGGCGGGAAAGCGGAGCAGCAGTCGAAGACGGAGGCCTCCGTTGAGTCGCCGGGAGGTGGAAAGAGAAGATCCAAAGAAATGAAACGCGTTTCAGGAGCTTCTATACTTCATGCAGTGACCTTCTTGTTTGGAGTTGTTGTGACGTCAGCGTCTAACCAGCCCATCACAGATGTCAAGGTCAAGTGAGGCGTGAAGTTCGGTCATGAAGAGTTTCCTGGTTTGGCCGATCAGGTGATTTCTTTCCCTTAGACCCTAATTGGTGAAATCCCCAAACCTGGGGAATTGTTGTTGTTCCATGTTTTGTCCTTTTTCCCGGCTTCCTGGCAGCAGCAAATCCCAGGTTTCAGCTGAGCTTCTTTTTGGGATGACTCGGTTAGACTTGATTCTATGGACAAATGGGCCTCCAGGTGTGGGGTGATAATTTTGTTGCAGGAGTGTATAGGAACGATCTATCCCGATAAGGGACCTGACTGACACTTGTTTTGACATCAAGTCTGGCATGTAATCTGACAATGCTTGACATCATCAGAGACCCCCATCTGACAGGTCAGAAAAAGACACGTGATGCAGGGCCCTGGTATCTCGACAAGTGAGCAGTTCTCAAAGCTCCTTTAGAAGTTTCTTTGCAGCCACATGTGGGGATACCAAAGCTCTTGGAAATACATCCTTGTGTGATTAACAGAAACATGTTTTAAACATCTTTAAGATTAAGAGCCCTGTTGACGGATTGCCCTGATCTCTTAAAAAGTCCCCCTCTTTTCTGCAAATGTTCAAAACAAAAAACTGATCATAAGTCATACCAACCTGACTTAGTGACTCTCTCTTGGGACTGTTGGATGATTGATTTCCCCTGTCAGCCCAAAGCCTCGGCCTTTCTCGGCCCCACCACCCAGGTCGTGACCACATCATGGCCATCCTGGAAGGCGGCCGGGCCGCCACTCAGCAGCGACAGAGGTGAGTGAAACGACCGTGGCGGCTGGCCCGACCGGGTGTCCGACTTGTGGCGGCGCGACCGTGGGGGTAAAACACCCTGAGATGGCCAAGGATTCCTTCATGTTTCAGTTTGATATCATTCAGAATTCATTTTACCTCTGTGGCAGTGGTGGATTATGACTACCAGGTGGAGTAAAATGAGTCAAAACGGAAGTTCTGGCTAAGAGAGAGGTGGTATTAGCTGGTAGCCTACGCCAGAAAGGAACCATCGTTGTCAGGATCGAACTAGATCTAGCCCTGAAGCCTTGTTCCGGGACAAGGAAGTGGTAACTGAAGGATATGGGAAGGGCTTCCAATCAATTCACTCACCCAGTGATTCATAACACGGAGCAGTCCTTTCACCCAGTCCAAGAAAGCACTTCATGCAGTAAGCCCTTTCCACTATAAAATCGACCCAGTTTTGGCACCCCCGAACTGAAGTAGCTGGCACTCACCTAACCTCCAAACCCGCGAATGGACCGGTCTCAGGTGATTTCTTGGGGCCCTTCCAATGAGTTCGGCCAGCGCCTTGGATGGCACGGCATGTGCGGCATGTGCGGCGGCACCTTTTTTGCGTGAGTATGGGCGCGAACGTGCGAGAAAGGCATATGATGAACAATATTTTAAACAAATAACCAGGGGTAAATCGTTCATGCATGCACAGTGTGTTGATTGCACCTGGCATCTCTCACAGATGTTCTTAAAGACAACGTTTGGTGCTAATTACGAAAGACATTTGCGATACGAACACTCAGGCAGCATGTTTTTTGATGTGTGCAAGGCGGTTTTGTTTGCATTGGACGGGGAACAGTAAGAATGAACTGTTAGCGAAGTGTGTGTTTCTTTGCGTCACATGCCAAGGCACAAAAGACTATAAGATAACTAGGGATTATGACCCAGGTGAATAGGAAACTGCACTGCAATGACGCATGTGAAGTGCGCAGATTTCGCATGATTTCACCATGTCAATGCGTGTTTGGCATGGCATGTGTGCCAGCAGTTCCCAATCTTGCACCGCTGTTTGAGCCGTACAGCAGCTTGAAAACACTTAGCACCGCTGTCTTACGGAAGTGTTTGTTGCTTTCGACGGTGATATGTGTTGGGCCCTGAAGAGGTTGGTGGAACCCACATGTTTTTGGAACCACCGCTGTCCAAAATATGTGCGGTGGAAATGGGCGCTGGGCTCATCATAGCCAATTGGCCAAACCCTCGGGGAGGGAGAGAGAGAGAGAGAGAGAGAGAGAAGAATAGCCCTGGGAGTCCAAGACTATCCAAGACTATTTTGAGAACACTCTTTAGGTGATCCGGAAGGGAACTTCCTTTACTTCAGTGGGGCAACTAGATATATATATATATATAAGTTTTGGAATGTTTTGGACTTCTAGGGTAATAGAATATATGTGCATTTGAAAATAATGGCGCCAGTCGAATGAGAGCACCCATGGACTTGTAGGACACATAACATGCCCATGGGCTCATCCCTATTTGGGTTGTGTTTGCAATCCCAAAAACACCTCCACCTGGCGCTGTTGGTGACTTGGACCGCTTGGTGCAGGACCTCGGTGGGTTTCCGCTGTCTTCAGGTCCCAACAGCCCTACAAGGGCCGCAGGTCCATCTGGACCGGGAATCCAGTCCTTCGCACCATATCCAGTCCTTCGCACGTCACCCAAACGGAAGATCGCCCCTGGCACCTTTCCTCACCCACCCCCCAAAACCCGGGGTGGATGTGGCGCTTTCCACCACCGCCGAAACCACAACGCTTTCCGCCGTCCGCCTGCTGTATCCGGCCACCTGAGGATCGGCCACGGCTTGCCCTACCGCTCGCGCGTGCGGCCGGGGGTGGTCCACCTTGGTGGAGTCTTGGTGAAGCAGGTGGCCTGTGGCGAACATCACTCGCTGGTGCTCACGGCGCACGGTGACCTGGTACTCACGGCTCCGGCGCGACGGGGTCGGTTCTGGAGCTGCGAGCACGGGTGAGAGTCGGGCACCACCCGTGAACAGGGTGTTTCGATGAGTGCTTTTGGTTTAACCCTTATGCTCCCACCACCTGCACCCTAGGGGTTGGGAGGGTTCGAACCACCGAACCTGGAGGGTCAACGGCCAGGAGGGTCAAGGGAACAGATTAAAGAAGAGTGCTGTGGCAAGTCGTGGGCTATAGGGATTGCAGGGTTGCGTGTCTAATCCAACCTGTCTTGGTGCTGAAGGCGTAGCTGAGATGGACAAGTATTAGTGGTTATACGGGATTCTATCCGCATATGGCGAGCAAATGTTGAGGCCAGGTGGGGGAGTTGTGAAGTTGAAGGTCTTGGCCACCGAAGGTCCTGATATTCAAACCATGGAATGCTCTGGCGTGGGTCCCGTGGATGCTCCCAGGGATGGGATGTCTTCGTTGAAGACGACGCCCTGTTCACATCTGAAAAGCCACACCGCCCTGTTCACCACAGAAATAGAATGAATTAAGATAACACAGGTCACAAGTTGTTCAGGTCGCTTGTTCAAGAACCCCCGACTGACTCTTCGATCCCAGGAACCGGTACCGAAAAGAAAAGTCCCAAACGTCCCTGACGTCAGGCCACTGGATAGCTATACATGAACAGGTCATCTGTTTGCGGTGAGCCAGCTTCGGTTGGACAGCCGTCTGACGGGCGCGTTTCAGAGCTGTTGGAGGTTGCACCTGAGGAATGACCCAAACGGCCATCGAATGAAGGCACTGAGGAATGGAAAGCAAAAAGGGAATTTCTTTATTGGAGACTTAGTGCATTCTTAGAGACTAATTGTAGCGCCTGAGAAAGCATAAGTGTTGTTTTGCTCGTTTCCCGTGGCATCCCGTGGCTATACTAACTTAGAGACTTAGTGCATTTAGCAAACAAGGGGCCTTCATGGATTTGGGCGTCCCCACTTTCTCCCGCGGCTATGTCAATCCCTCACTGTTTCGGGCTTCGGTTCTGCATTCGGGGCAGTTCGTGGCAGTGAGTCAAAAGCTTCGAAAAGCTTTGTGGGATGGAACTGCCCAACAGAGGTTTTTCAGAACCCGGCCTACAATTTGGATATCCTATAAGATCCTATAAGGTCACTTAACCTCTCTTGGTCATGGAGCGTTGACCTGAATTCTTCCAGACCCTCCAGTTCGTCCCAGGTGAAGTGTACTCCTTCGGTTGCAACCTGCATGGTGCGCTGGGCTCCGGCCGTTGTGGTTCCCAGGAACAGGCCGAACGCGTGCTAGGCGCGGGGGAGGCTGCTGCTCAGAACGCTCCGCGGTGGTTCGTTCTGGCCCACTCACCCTAAACACTGTTTCAGTAAGTGCTTCAGTTCCGCATGGCGAAACGAATTTAGCCTGGTATACGGGTCCTGTTTCTACCTTCCAAAGACTGATGTTGGGTCCTTTGCCCAGCTTGCTTGGCTTGGCTTGGCTTGGCTTTGCTTTGCTTTGCTTTGCTTGCTTTGCTGAGTGGCTTTGCTTGACTTGGCTTTGCTTGGCTTGCTTTGTTTTGCTTTGTTTTGCTTTGTTGCTTTGTTGCTTGCTTGCTTGCTCGCTATTCTTGCAGAATCTGTTTGGCAGCGTCGCGTCGTCCCTCGCGACCGGTCGTGCGGTAGGTCCTTCGCCAGTGCTGTTTCGTTCGGCCATTCACACGGAACGGCGAAGAGACCACCGAGTGGTTTTCGGGCACCCTTCATGAGACTGGAAGATGTGTGCCCAATGGACAAGTCCTGCACCGTGTCCCACCGGTTATCGAACGATGAGTGCTTGTGTTACATCAACCTCATTTTCACATCATCAACTTCATTTTCACGCTGCAACCTCACCAGCCCTCCTCCTCCGCGACTTCTCCGAACACCTGGACCATCAAGATGGGTCGACCTGCCCCTCCACGCCGCTCCGCCGGGAGGGAACCACCTCCGGAGTATGCCGGTGCGTGGCATCGCGGCGGGGCCACAGAGCTCGATGGCGCTTTCCATCGGCGGACGCTCGGTCGGACGACCGGTGGGGAGTGTAGAAGGCCGGGCGCGGCGCAGTGGGTGTTTGGGGTGGGTGGGTGGAGTTTCAGAAGGATCTAACTTTAAAGGAGGTTCTCCTGATGCAAGTGGATAGGACTGTACTGTATTACAGTGTTAATTATGCCGTGTGGGATGATAGAATCAGATGCGTAAGATGGCAGATATGGTTTCAATGCGGGCTGCAGGTTGTGTGGGGACTCTCCAAATGCCATTTGTTGCGATGCCGTTTGACTGGCATGTCCTAAGCACATTGACATCTACACTCCCGAAAACTAACATAGACCCGGGTCCAATGGCCCCCTGGAAGATTGTTTTCCTCTACCAGCCAGTGGTTTTCAGGGTCCATGGGATCGTCTTCCAGATTGTAAACACTCAAAGGGGATTCCCTGAGAGTCAGGGAGGATTGATCCATGACTTCCAGGGCGAATGCAGTGCCTTATGTTTGAATGTATGTAGTAGTTGGGCCCCCAAGACTCAAGACCAATCCAAATACTTGGCCAAGCCGCTTAGCTCACTCCTTGGAGTCCATCCAAGAATTTCTTCAGAATCAATTTGGCACACATTTCTAGTGAGTGCCAACTTTGCTTTTCATCCTTCTTTGCTGGGAGACTTGTTCAACCATTCCAGCCAGCTATGAGTCCATGAGACCTGCCGTTTGTGGTACCAGACTCAGGTCATGTCTTCTGCTGGGGATGCAATAGCCGGGGTCGTTTAGGCCTGGGGCCTGCCTATGATCAGGAGAAATGCACAGAACTGCTGATCCATCAGTTGTGGCGTATGTTCATTTAAGGGGAAACATCTTGACAAAGATCTATATCTACTCGTTTCAATCTTGCAGTGACCAGTGTTATATACAGTGTTGCACTTGCTCCCTTCAGCTACACTGAGCCCTAGAGGAAGTTTCTTGGATACAGTTTCTAATTAGACATGTTTCAATTATTGATGCAGAGCGGAATAATGACCCGTTGCCGGGGCAAACAAGCAATAATTGAGCTTTCCCTATCTCAAAGCCCACCTTGAATCAATGCATGCAAGGGAGCGACACCAATGACCAGGAAGAATCGGCAACCACCCAATCAAAATACATGTTGATAGCTCTTCAAGATGTGCTTTGTAACCAACAGGCAGCCTCACAACGGCGCTTCGTAGCTGTGTTTGACTTGGTTTTGGATGTTGGCTTTGATGCTCTCCAACCACGAAAGCGAAGGTATAAAGGACAGGCCTCCCGTGCCTGGTCCCAGGTATGCTATGGTAAGGACATGGGTGGCTCCTCAGGGAGTGTCATCTCAACCACCTACCCAGGAATCGTGGGCAACTTTGAATCTTCCCTAGGGCTCCTGGCCCACCGAACTCGTTTCGGGATTCGGTGGTTGGGGTCGGTGCCACGGGGGTCGATCTCCGTCACCTGAGGATATGGGACAGGAGCCCTAGGGTATAATACATACATGAAAACTCCCTATTACAGTTGGAGCCCCAGGGCTTACAGGTGGAAAGTTCGGGTCACCTCTGGGGTCTTTGGGGTCCGACCAGTCCTGGGGGTTCAGACCAGGAGCCCACTGTCTTAGCGCCCGTGAGCGTCCCCACCTTGCCCGGCGTGGCACGTGCCATCGCGGCGGGGGGGCAGCATTCGGCGGTGATCCTACGGCGAGGGAGGCTCTTCCTGGCGGGTGACAACCGCAGCTGGCTTTGAAAAGCAGGGGAAAGAGACCGGGACAACTGGAAGAAGAGCAGCAGTGGGGCCCCAACTCTTCATTGTTTTGGTTCGGTGCGATAATTTCAGAGCGAACTCTTTGTGTTTTCTTTATGTGTGTGGCTTCGCGCTGAGACCAGGATGGATAGACAACTCAATCCGCACTGCACGATGAGTTGGAAACTGTGATGCTATAGCATACTATAGCTATTTGACACCGCTATGGCTATACCTTTAATATTGAATTTGTGGAGAATCTCAGCCTTCATTGAGGCTCAGGGCAGCTTGGGCAGTCGAGGAAGGATGTAGAGCCTTGGCCGCTGACCGAAGTCTTTATGTGAAGTGAAAGGAAAGTCACGCCATTTAACGGCGAACTGGCACACCATAAGTGGGACATCACCAAAGACAACACTACATTACATCACTACATGACCTGTATCTCATCGGCTAATCCGAAAATATCACCAGTGTACTTCCACGTTTGTGAGTCAGAGGTTAAGTTGTGTGCCTGTCCTTGTGCCAGTGGTTTTTGGAGTTTGCTTTCATTCCTTGGGCAGTTTGAGGGATCAATGGGAGGCACTGTATACCAAAATCAGATGCCAGACACTGCCAGACACGTCGTGTTTGGCAGCTCCAGCTCCAGGTCAATCACTAAGCTTGGCCCACGGGCATCCGTGTGTTCACCGAGGATTGGACCAGCACCTTCTTCGAGCTTCCCTTCCAAGATTACATGCTGCGAGTTCGAACCGTTGCCTTAGGCGCAGCCAAAGTTTCGGCGCTTGGTGCGCGCAGCACGTGCCATGGGCACAGCGGTCGTCACGTTTCTAACCAAGAACGTGACATTGTCGGACATGCCGAGTGGGTCTGCCCTATTACCTGTAATGTCCTATTACCTGTAACAGATGGTTAATATTT